TTAAGTGCATATCTTGTTTAGCATAGGTTGTTGGTGCACTTAGTTGAGCCTAGCTTATTTAGGATTTGTGCTTAAAAAGTATCCGTTAGTTTAATTCCGCATTAGGATAAAGCCAAATCCATAAAAGTTCTAAAACTCCTATTCACCCCCCCCCCCCTCTAGTCATCATCTAGATCATTTCAGTTTGCTTATGACCTTTGTTATATCCTTATATGCAAGTCCTCGTATTGTCATCAATCCACCAAAAAGGGGGAGATTGTAAGGGCATATTTCTCCCTATGTGGTTTTGGTGATTGATGACAATGCTTTTGCGGACTAATCGTGTGCATTGAGCATTTCAGATATCTCATGTTTAGGCACAAGACGATTCATTGCCCCTCAGAGTCTATTGAAGACGGAGTTTTCTCTATATTTCTTTTCGGTGGATTTGAGTCGTAGGAAAGCCGTACTATTAAGAGGGGGTCCACTTTGGAAAGGTTTGGGTGGCATCATCACGTACACGTCCATTACTTTGCACCACCTTTCCTTTGCCTCTTTGGAGCAACCTCCGTTTCTCCGTGTCTCGACAAAATGAAGGACTCCTGGTGTGGTTGTGCTGTGGCATGCGGTAGTACTGCTCAAGGGAGCAGTAGTACCGCAGAGACCCACGGTAGTACCGGCCAGGGGCGCGGTAGTACCGCATGCTCTTGTGGTAGTACCGCTCGCCGAGCCTGGTAGTACCGTGGCCTCTGGCCCAGCACAACAACACGAGCGGAAGTGGGGGTGGATGTAATTTTTTACATCCGCGCCCTACGCGATAGTACCGCTCCCTGTATGCGGTAGTACCATGTCGGATTTTTGCACAGATCGAAAATCAGCGGAAGTAGCTACGGATGTATTTTTATTCATCTGTGCCTTTCCAACCTAGACGAACCCTGCTTTGCGGTAGTACTGCAAGGGTGCGCGGTAGTACCGCTCCGGCGGTTGTACCGCTTGCTGTGGCAACACAAAAGGGCTTCTTCTGGTCTCTACCATGGGTGTGGTAGTACCGCACCTCCTAGAGGTAGTACCGCAATCCCTTGCGGTAGTACCGCTTGTCTGGTGCAATAGTACCGCAGGTCGCAGGCTGATTAAGTGGATAACGGTTGGATTTGTCCCTCACTATATAAGGGGAGTCTTCTTCTCCGAGTTGACTACCTCTTCTTTCCCAAGCTCCATTGATGCTCTAAGCTTCATTTTCGCCCGATCTCTCTCCCTAGCCAATCAAACTTGTTGATTTTCTAGGGAGTGCTTGAGAAGGCCCTGATCTACACTTCCATCAAGAGAAATTTGATTCCCCCCACTAATCTCTTGCGGATCTTGTTACTCTTGGGTGTTTGAGCACCCTAGATGGTTGAGGTCACCTCGGAGCAACATTCCATTGTGGTGAAGCTCCGTGGTTCCGTTGGGAGCCTCCAATTCGGTTGTGGAGAGAGCCCCAACCTTGTTTGTAAAGGTTCGGTCGCCGTCTTCAAGGGCACCAATAGTGGAATTACGACATCTCGCATTGTGTGAGGGCGTGAGGAGAATACGGTGGCCCTAGTGGCTTCTTGGGGAGCATTGTGCCTCCACACCGCTCCAACGGAGACGTACTTCCCCTTAAAAGGAAGGAACTTCGGTAACACATCCTCGTCTCCACCAGCTCCGTTATTGGTTACTTCTCGCCTTCACTTGTGCAAGCTTCTTATGTGTTGATTCCCTAGCATGCTTGCTTGCTTGTTGTTGTTGCATCATATAGGTTGCTCATCTAGTTGCACATTTAGACAACCTACTTTGATACAAAGTTTAATTTGGTAAAGAAAAACTAAAAACTGTTAGTTGCCTATTCACCCTCCCCCTCTAGTCAACTATATCGATCCTTTCAGTAATTTATGTTGGTGTGGGTATAGCAACTTTTGTTTGCAAGCACGAAATTTCCTGGCAAAAAAGGAACAACGACGGATCTGTTATACTCGCCAGCTAAACTTGCCATCTTCGACAAACATAATCTGTCATGAAAAATATTTGATTTGTCATGTCTAAAAATATGATGTTCGTTAGATATCCCGTTATCATAGAAGACGGTTTAGTGGGGTTTTTTTAACAGCAAAAGATCCCAAAGGATCCTAAAGATTTATTCATTGAAAACTAGCATACAACATATCTTACAAAGGACCTTAAATAAATAAATGGGTACAACCAAGTCCATGGACTTCTGCAAGAAGGACCCTAAACAGGAATCAGAAACGTGATTAGGTCCACCACCTCCATGCCATTCACCTTGTCGTCTCCTGGGAACATGCCACTTGGGGCAACGAGGGGCATCATGGGTACCGACGAGAAGCAGAACTGTCGGAGCCCGGAGAAAACGGCAACGGCATGGCAAAGTGGCGGGCCTAGGTTTTCGTAGGTTTGAATAGTACTACACGGCTACCGATCACCAAACCATTTTCCATTCATGAAATTAACTCTTTTTTCTCTAGCAGGTTATTACGACGGTTTGTTTCGATTTGGTTATATCTGTGTTGCTTCAGTTTTATCCTTGTTCCGCTCACTCGCTTGGCTGTTCCGTCTAGTTTTTATCCATGTTGCCCTCGTTTTATCCCTATTCCGCTCACTCGCTTAGCTCTTTCTTCAACTCGCACTACTGCTAGCTCAAAAAAAAATTTCCATCGTTTTTTTATTTTAAAAGTAAATTACATCAAAAGATGTGCACAGATTTAAAAAAATGACGGAAATTAAAAATCATAAATTGTGAAAAAATATTCATAAAATTGAAAAATGGTTGCAAATTTTTTTTTAAATTACAAACTTTAAAAGGTTCATGAACTTTAAAAATTGTTCACGGATTTTTAAAAATCTTAATTGGTTTTTAAAAATGTCATGATTTTTTCTAAATGTTCATGAATAAAAATGTGAAAATATAAAAAAGAAGAAAAATATATATTATTGAAACCAATAGAGAAAAGAAGAGATAAAAACTACTCCCTCCATCCCAAAATATAAGACGCTTTTTTACACTATCATAGTACCAAAAAAATGTCTTATATTTCGGGACGGAGGGAGTAATAACCAAGCAATGCCTTGTAGAACATGCTCAAATCAAGGGAGCTTAGTATCTAAGATTTTAAACCAAATTGAGTTTAAGAGTTGTTAATTTATAATGGACTTCTAACAAGTAACATCCACATTTGCAAAAAGAGAGAAAAATGGTGCAAACAGATTGCATTTTTTTATTGCTAGTAAATGGCAGGAAATAAATTTGTGCACAGAAAGTGGCCTTGTTAGCCCATCACAGTCCTTTTGTCACACAAAATGTATATTACTTTAAAAGGAAGAAATAAAAACTGCAAAGTGTACATATTACATCAACATCTACATGTGTAATTTTTTCAAAGTATTCTTAATTTTGATAACAGTTTGTGACAGATAAGGCAAAAACTGTTTAGTACTCCCCCCATTCCTAATTTTAACTCTTTCTAGGGATTTCAAATATGTATATATACGTCCGTATGTAGTACTCCCCCATACGAAGCAAAATGAGTGCATCTACACTTTAAAATATGTATATATACATCCGTATGTAGTTCAGATTTATACGTCCGTATGTAGTTCATATTGAAATCTCTAAAAAGACGTGTATTTAGGAACGGATGGAGTAGTTGTGAACAAATTTAGTGATGAAAAATGGCAGACATTCATCAAGGTAATTGTAAAAATATTAGTCGATACTTGCACAAGAAAGAAAACGGAAGAACATCAGCGCAACAAGTCAAGAACATGCTACTTCCAAATTTGTGTTGGAGTAAACTGCAAAAGCGGCATCTTAAATCTCATCGGCTGCAGGAACTGAAGTCTGCCTCGCTATAAAAGCAGCAACTTGACTCTCATCAGCTGCAGGAAAACGAAGTCTGCTTTTGTAAGACAGAGCCAATGCCGTCACCTGACCATGTTTCTGATGCTCTAACTTGTCTCTGAAGAAGAGTAACTCGGCAAACCCGTTGGCGAGTGACTGCAACGAAGAATCTGGCACTCGAGATCACTTGCAGTTATCTTCGCAGTTACCCTCTTGGTGTGTCCGGGGAACAATCTTACTCCACGGGAGAACAATCACGTTGCTATATCAGTTGCCACTTCCAGTACAAGTCCGGTACAGGCCACACGTAGGAGTCGATTCATTCTTTGTTTCAGAATAGAGGTAACCTCCTCCGTAGCATTTCTCCGTTTCCTGTTCTGTTCCACAAGCTGATGCGGACTGCCAAAAGCACGAAGGACTCGGCGCGCCATACGGATTTTGATCTTCTTTTCTTCAGCATTTTCTAAGGTTCAGAGAACAGATGATTCAGAAAATATGTAGAGCCTCTGCTAGATCATATCCTGCGTGCTGCTCCTCCGGATCCGGAGTTCTGTGTGGATCTGCTGTACTGCTCCTCCGTGACCTTATAGGTCTGGCAGCACACATCATTAGGCGAGTCCATTTCCGCATCCTTGGCAGCACATACCACTGGCATGAGGTTCAGCATCTATGTTCATGGTATAAGCGGATGAAATTTACATACACTTATAAAATGATTAGGTGTGTTTACATTACAGAAGTGACAAGTACAGTACCTTCTGTGTGCAGAGTGCAACCCTATCTTGCTCTTGAATCATCCAATTCAGCCTAATACCTCAAATAACGGTCTCGGGTTCTAAACAGCCAGAGGCGAGAGGAGGGCAGCTGGCATCGTACCTTCGAACAAGCCTGCACTAAATAGAAAACTTGAATATAAACATTTTTCTATCAATGTTTTCACACCTACTAGCGCTAAAAACTCACAGGACTACTATTAAGATGTACAGCAGAAAAAAGAAAGTAACCTAGAATTAAGACCAGCTTGCAAATTTATCTCTACTGACCTTTTCCACCAGCTGCAGTAGTAACTCAGAGTCCAGAACACAAGCAGAGGCCATTCCAACCCAACAGTTCATGTAGCTTGTGGACTCACAGGTTCTTTTCATTGCTACAACTCATTAGAATCAATACTTGGAATTATTTTCTTCAGTAGGCTAAATGATGATGCAGGCATGTTACATTCTGCAGTGAACTGCAGTAGCTCGTTCTCTAGAACTGCAAAAGCATCAGCAAAAGCCTGCCATGAAAAGCATCAGAAAATACCAGTAAGACTTATTGATCCATGATTTGCCCGAAGAACATTTATATCTTCAAAGGCCAAACAAAGAACGCATTAGTACTAGTACCGTGCAAAGACTAAATTTCAATACCAAGATTCCCCAGCCAGATGAATGACTACATAACAGAGCATAATAACAGAAAACGGCGTTGCACAAAGTCCAAAACGCTTTAGATAGCAAAAGATGGATTCAAGCAGTCCAGAAAAGATAATTTCAACCAACCTTGATGCATTGATGGATTCGGAAACAATTCCGGCCCACATTGTTAGCAGGGCAAAGAGGGTCATCGATATGAATTGGATCAATGCTGCAAAATCCACAATATGAAACCTTAACATAGGCAGAAGGTGACAGACATAACCGATGTATTACTGAGATCGACTTTTATTACCTGTGCCCTCTTTCTCGGTTCAAATAAATTCCACTTCCTTGGATGGAAATACGCATATGGCGTGGATCAAACACATTCCTGTCATCCAGAATGTTTGAAAGCGGTTAGAAGTAAGATGCACCAATATATTGCTAATTTAGCTGTTCCAAAAGAGAAACCATACACTGAGCCCCTATAGTCATTCTAGCACACTTTACACGCTTTTTCTACATCTGGTACTTATCTTTTCCCTTATGTTATAAACAATAAAGTGTCCATACATGCTCACTTACCCAAAAAAATACAGGAAATCCATCAAAAGGCTCCCTAGATTCTGCCAAACACAAACAGCAAAAATGTAGCATTAGTGGCAGTTTACAATAAAAATATGAACTTGCTAAGGAGGACCAGGGATGAATTTTTATTTTTCCATTTGTACTACTGAAGTTTGAAACTCAAAGATGACCAAATATCTACATATATGTGAGCCAATCACTAAAATATAATCTATTATACAGAAACAAATCTCACAGAAACAGGATAGAGTAACCAAGGGAAAAAATGATGTAGATTCCAATTGAGCTATACTATTCAAGATGTGCAACTTACTTGGTTAATAGGCCGACCAAGATGATGTTCATGCTGAAGAAAACGAGTGATTAACAACACCTGCAAAGGATATTAAAAATGAAGTTCTTTTCACAGGTCATCTCAAGAGTTAATGTCATTAATAAATATAATATGCTAACATGAAATGTAAGCATCAAGTATGTTATCCAAAGCTGAAAATATATAAGAAAATAAAAGTTAGCTCGGAAACGTGCTTGTAATGCTGTTAGACATACATTAGCAGACACTGAGGACATATTATCTGGCCGAATTTTTTTATCTGATTGAAAGGTTTAGTCCAGACAAACCATCAAAAGTATAGAACATTCAACTATGACCAACCCTGATAAAATTAACGAGAAAATTTCCTACTAAAATTAAGATATTTGAGTCATTAATAACTAAGAAGCAATGATCTGGAGAGCATGTAGGTAAACATAAAGAAGTTATCCAGCGCAAACAAGCTTTCAGAGTCAAATCAACACGAAAAAAAAATCACAGGAGTATTAAGAAAAGCTACATACCAAACAGTAAGAGCTTAGACCACCCGAATATGGGTGGTCCAAACTACGATCTGCCAAAAACTTCTTCATGATTAATGCAAGGGGTAAAGCCGCAGGAAATTGCTGAGTCAGCTCACCAACCTGTAGCAAGATAAGAAAGAAGGTGAATAAGAGCGGCAAACTTGTATCTCCAATTTTAGTCCTGAAAATTTTGTATTCATGACTTTCAAGCACAATGTCATGGCCACCAAAGTATGTGGCAGTACCATGTAGTTAGATAGTTCTATGGTTCAACCAACCAAGCAGCGGCCATTCATGTGTACAAGACTTGCACTTGAGAAAGAAACTAAGTGATTATGGTGATATTGAACTCTACATACTAAACAAATCCAAAACCTTATAAATGTTGCCTTCCAGCATCTCTTTTTCTTTAGTTGAAGAATCATCATGACATCATTAAAAAAACAGAAATCACACAAGAACCATCATTATCTCATCCTTAGGGTCATTTGAGACGACATGTATGTAAGCATCAAGGAGAAAACATTACTATTACCTCCATACCAAAATATAAGATGTTTTTGTAGGCTAGTTTAGCCTACAAAAAACGTCTTATATTTTGATACGGAGGTAGTACTTTTTAATGGGAAAACATTAGTGCTTCCGAACATGTGACAACTGACAAGAACCAAGAGCAATGATGATAATTCAAACTGTGCACGATTGACATGATGCAACTTAAGTATGGCAATAAATTTATGTACAAATGGTATAATTTGAATTAAGATCATGCTTCACACACAGATTATTACAATACTGAACTGCAATCTTACATAGCGCGGATACATAAGGCAACAATCTATGCCTGCAAGAGATAGGTATCGACTAAGTATGTACTTAATCATACCCAATTACCCATTAAGCATTCCACATTATACTATATTTGTATTTTTATTACATGATCATGCAATGCTCATGACTAATTGTTCAAAATATCCAGTGATACTTACTTACAGGTTGATTTTCTGTTACAGTAAACTGAAGATAATGATACAAAACTACCAACTGTGATCAAACATTTCAGAAACAAAACCTTTTCATGAAGACTGACTTTAAAACCAACAAATAGAAACAAAGCAGAACTTATTTTACTTAAAAATATTCCGTTTGATAGTAGCTTTTGATTTACCAACTCAGTAGTCTGGAGTCCTGTGTGGGATGGTGATTTGAAACTTATATCAAGACGAATTGACCGCACAGCATCACAATCATCCTTCATTTTTGAGCCCGCAAGTGCATTGCTGCCTTCTGAACTAGAATTGTCAGAACGAGGAGGGCTCCCTTGCTCCCCAAGCACATTGACTGAAATTTCTTGTGAGCTATCCAGAACAGAAGGGTCATTGGACATATTTGTGTCACAAGGTACTTGGGCTACAAGCATGATCACAGGTATCTGCAATTTTTAATGATGAAGAATGAGGAAAATAAAAACTAGTTGGCAAACTAGAAAATTAAAGGGGATTATGACTTACTGCTGTGTTTTCAATCGTTTTGAGGGAATCACTCCTAACCCAGTCCTGATTTCCAAGGCACCTTGCCGCATGCTAAAGAAAAACAAAAAAGACCTGTGAAGATCAGCTTTATTTTTTCCTTTGGGCATAAAAGCATATAAAGATTTATGCATTGTAAGTAGCATATAAAGATTTATGCATTGTAAGTAAGCATGGGCGTGCAGTTATACACAAAATATAGTAAGAGAATTATTGCTAGGTAAACATTGAATGCCAAAAGCCAGTAACTTACCATGACCCACGAAGATATACAAACAAGTAGACAACTTAGAGTTAAACTTATCCAGAACATATCTGTAGCAACTCACAAGGCATATAGCAACAAAAAAAACAGAAAGCATTTAATGCTTCGCTTATTTCCTATGTTAATTTTAACAAGAAACAGTGCAGTATATTGTTGCAGCAATGGTGAAACCATGAACAGAGCGCAGTGTAAGAAAAAACGCGTAGATAAAATCAACTGTTAACATCTCAATGTTTGTTTAGACAAATTTGATGTCCAAATCAGATAATAGGTCATTCACCTATTAAAGAATCCAGAGAGCGAAAAATCTATTAGCCGACATGCATTACCTGGAGGCATGTTTCCTTAATGCCATTGCGGCCTTCCAAAATTCCAGCTTCTTTAATAGGTTCCTGGAAACAGCTACAAATTTAGTTCCATGATGGCACAAAAATAACTGCATTTGTGCTACTATGTTGTGTTGATGGTCATGCAACTCACCAGATTTCGGACTGGGGGGAGAGAAACCACGAGATCTACATCACTAGTTGGAAGGGCCAAACCAGTGGCATTTGAGCCAAATAGATTTGTACGCGAGCGAGGCCAGAGAACTTGCAGGCACCGTGTGACCCTTTTGACAGCCCAATTTATATAGGGCTTCGTCACCAGATTTGCAGCAGCAACCTTGCAAGTACAATGAATAGCATCAACACCCATCAAAGGAGGAATTTCACGTGCACAAACTAAGGCACGGCATGCAATTACTTGGCATCAGAGTAATGATTAATGATTGATACCACACATTCATGAACGTTGTGATGATGCAAAAGGCAGGAGGTAAGGGAGAATACCTGCTTACAGAATTGATCAATCTCTTCATGTAGAGCATTGTGCATCAAAGAAAGGGATGCCTTGTGAGGTGAACCATTTAACATATCAGGTGGCTGCAAAGGAACTGCAACATCTGGCTGCAAAAACATATGTCAGGAACGCATAAAAGCTGCATAAAAAATACTCGCCAGTAATAGAAGAACAGAAATTATTCCTTACATGTTGATCACGTGAAAGCTGTGAAATCTTAACAAGGTGGTCCTGCAAGACAGTATCCTCAATTGATTGTACCAGTGTACCAGTAGAGGTGCCTTTATTCACCCATGAAGGCCATACAACTTCAGGGCCATCCAAGCAAAACTGAGCCCTATTGAAAATTTTATCATCAGAAAACAAGCTTCTCATCCCCCAATGCCGCGGGCTTGAACTGCCGGATCTAACAATTGGGAATCCACGTTTTCTTGATTCTCCAACAGGAGAAGGAGGAGGTGGCCGAGGCATGCGAGGAACACTAAGTAATACTGGCGATGGAGGTCTTCTTACAAGAGGTATATCCCTCCTGGTCGAAGACACACATGGGCTCCTGTGATCATGACCACCCCTAAAGTCAGATCTTGATAGCCTTCGTGATATATTAGAAACAACTATTGGCCGCAGCATTGCATATGGTAGTGTATCTCCCTTTACTTCACTGGCACAAGATGGACTCTTTACAGCCGAAGTAGTCTTATCTTCAGGACTGTCTTGCGTAGAAGATGGAGAATGTGAAGCTTCATTGTTGATGTCATTCCCTGCCACTGAGTGACAAGCAGGCTGAGGGGAAGGATCAGAAGTTTCATGCTGGGAACAGGATGGGCTTGGGCTGGATGGTGGTGACGATGCACCATTTGCATTATATGTTGATGATGGAATCCCAATAGCCAGATCGTCAACAACTCGACTAACATCTGCCTCATGCCATGCCCAAGCACTGTCATCTGAACTAAGAGATGGTGGCCTAGAAAAGCCCGTTCCGGCATGTTCTGCAGGACTCCAATACATCACGCCACCGCCAAAATATTGATTAATATCTCTTCCAGAAGTTGCACGGCCGTCTGATTCTTCTTCAGAAAACCAATAGCTTTCAGTATCATCCCCAACATCTGATGTGTTTCTTGGGTCACTATCGCTAAAATATTTCCTATCTTTTTCACTGCAAATGCCACCTCTCTGAATTAGTTGAGCAGGAAACCCAGGCCAAGCAGAAGACTGCATATGTGGGGCAAATACCGGATCATAACTTAAAGCAGCATTTTGAGTCAGTTTACCATAACCTCTGAAAACAGGAGGCCAATCAAAACTTAAGGGCACTGACAAAGAAGATAACATTTGATTGCATCCAGCTTCAACTGGTGAGCTTCTCACCTGATGGTTGGCAGGAATGAAAGGTTGGTTAAATGGAGTAGGCCATCTGTAACCAACGTCAAGATGCAACCTGTCTGCTGCAGCAGGGCGCTGTTGCATTTCAGGTGATACAAAATGGGGTGCTACACTAGGCCACTCGTATGATGTTCCTCCCAGCAAGTTCCGGTTGAATGCATAATATTCATCTACACCATTCTTCACTGCTGTACCATTGTCGCTTATAGCACTTTGGAGAATGTTGGCAGGAATGACTGATGGTAAAAGTTTGTCGGTTGTCACTACAGAGCTGTGATCCATTTGTTTCTCATATCCTTTACCAACACCAGGAGGAAGTCCATGCAAAGCTCCCTGTGTTATATCACAGCCAGTCTTATCCTGTGCAGATCTTACCAAGGAGTCAGCAGAGTTTCTGCATGGAATACCAGATAAAACATTATCACTACTGGAAGGTGAACATAAAGATGGTTGGACAATGAATTCATTTTGACTACTGCGTGATGGGCTCTGCTCATTCACACTGAAGTTGGCAGGTTTTTGTGCACTCTGACAACACTCTGTGGTTACTGATGAGATAACCATAGAAGAACGTAAGGTATCTTCCAGTTTTCTGCTGCTTTTGATGCCTTTTTCTTCAGTTCCATCAAAGATACTTGATGACTCAGAACAACCCACTGCTTCAGGGATGTCATTACTGGAAATATGCGCATGAGATGGGACACACAGTGGGGCATCTACTGCTTCGGGAGATTTATGAAAGGCTTCTGTAGCAACATGAGCAACAGCTGTCTTCAATTTGCCAGGTCCAGGGTTCTCAGCTCTCAAAAGATCAGAGAGTTTTGCTTTCCCTTTACGTTTGTTTTTCTTTTTGTTACATTGATTATTGCAGTCAGCCAACCTGATAGCTTGCTCCTAAAATATATAGTATGCCACTTGTAAGTCATTACTTAACAAACACAAAGTAGGATTGTGCTAAAGTATGCTTACCGCCTTTGGTATTGGTGCAATTTCTTTGCAAGGAGTTTCTTCAGAAGCGGGTCCATTAATAGTGCATCGAACAGATGGAGTCTGCTGGTTTGACTTTGACACAATCCTAGAATTTCTTGTTTCTGTGCTACTGCCTCCATTGTCCTGGAAAAGAGTCCTTAAGTCAAACAAGCTAACTTGCTTGTTGAAGCATACAGCCCCGTGCCGATAACAAACTATAGGAAGAAGGGCATAAATGAACTATACCTTGGACGACTTGGAAGACGCTGCTAGCTTTTTCGAGCTACTAGACTTCTTCTTTCCTTTTCGAGAACCTACACTTGTCTTTTCAACATTCTTTTTTGGATTATTTGATGCTCCATCCCCAATGAGCTCCAACTTTATACTTTCCGTCGACACCACCATGAGAAGTCTTCGTAATCTCATGAGTATATTGTCAGCAACAGTGCCAGCTGACATTAATGAAGTGAGAAAGATTGCATCACCGCCACAGTAAGTAATATTGCTCTTTAAACACACTATCTCCTGAAGCACCAGCAATCTTTTTAATTCTTTAGCAAAAGCAGGCTTCTTTTTACAAGACAGAATGCTTGCAACATCGCCGCAACCAGGTTGATTCTTTCTGAAAAAAGACTGCCGTGTACTTCCATACATACTGTCTGCAAGAAATGATCCAGAATCGCTAGAAGCAACATCTGATCCTTCAATCTCATTAGCCTGCAAACTTGAGCTATTAGTATGTGACTTAGATATACTTGGCATAGCAACTTCCTCAGATTAACTGCACACCAATGACACCAACTTTAGTGATCCTCCTCCCAACATTAGCAATATGTAAAACAAGAAGGTATGGAGTGGCAAAGAGCTGACTGATCATGTACACCGTGTCAGCGGGCTGGTCAACTTAAGCAATTAGCATATTCAGGATAGCAACTTCTTCAGTCGGTATTTAAAAGGAACACTGAATCGGGTTTTTGATAAAAGGACGAGTTTTGTCAATCTGCATGTATCTGACTGCCCAAGAAAGACAGACAAATCAATACTGAAAATGAAAGTTTACACATAAGCTAGAGGAGAACTGTGGGCAGGACACACTAAATTGTCTAGGCCAAAAGTAACCTACTTGTGGTCAACCTATTGTGGAATCTATATTAAAAGCACTCCTACAAAGGATTTACGAAAAGCAAACCATTTGAGTCAACAAGGCCTCAAAGTTGTTTTCAATAAATGATTGGTTTGTGATCAGATCTTTGGTTTGTTCAACCTAGTAAGAACATGATAATCATCCCTGATGCATTGATTATGAAAGAGTGCATGGACTGTCTATGCTTGTAATTCAAAAGAGAATGCACATTTGGGCAAGCAAAGTAAATACGTCATTCGCCAAATAGTTTAATCATGTAAATGCAGATATTTCATCAAAAGTTACTTCCACCCTCTAAACATACATTACATAAGCAGAATGTTTGATATGATCTTTCCAAAACAATATGTAAAGCATTAAGCGTCAGTATTTTTTATCCGACTAAATATATCAGAACTCAGTCTTTTCTTAAATAATAACATAATCTTGCAATCCATCCTCCACTAGAGCCTCCCGGACAGAATGCTAAATAGTTAAATCATGGATCCAAGAGCAGTATATTTGTGTGCTGTTTAGCTTTTTCTGGAAGGTTTTTCTCAGAGCCTAATTTACCTAGAACAGCTGATTTTAAATATGATGACAATAAGTGAACAACGTTCTAGGCATGCAATTCCCATCACTTTTTTACTTTTCTTCCTCAAGCACATTCAGCCAGCATTATCTCCTTTCTTGCAATACAGCAAAAACAACAACTAGTTACCCAAAATGCATGGATTGCCTCTACCACCCCATAAAACGGAAATCAAACCTATTTAACTCACCTATACATTCTAATTAGATCAGACAGATGTTTCAGCACAATACATATATATAGTCATGTACAATAAGAAGCAAATGTGTTGCTGTCAGGGTTTGGTTTCACTTGAATAAAAACCATGCCAAAGAAACTAGCAGGTAAAAGTGCAGCATTGCTCTGAAACTTTTGCACTTTGCATATACTACAAGCTATATAGCCTGAAATTAAATGCATACAACTGAGACAAGCATCAACCATAGCACACTCTGAAGCCATGAACTAAAAACATGTCGAAACGCAGAGCAAGAGGGCATATTACCAGCGCCTTTGCACTCTTCCCGAAGAAGGCTCCTGTGATCCTTGCTCTCACCCGGGGCTCCAGCCGCATCCACCAGTCCACATACCCCTTCTCCCTCCAGAAGGCCGTCGACGCCAGCCCGGCCTTCTCCTTGACGCACCTCCCAACCCTCACCGCCTTCTTCCCGCCGACGCCGCCCCCGGCCGCGGCCGCCGCCCACGACATCCGCAGCGCGATCTCGACCCAGTTGGCCACGAACTCCTCGATCACGTAGTACCCCTTGGCCTTGAGCCAGGGCAGCTCGGGGAACTCCTCGGACGCCAATGCGGCCAGGTCGACCTCGCCGTCGCCTGCGCGGAGGAAGGCCTCGCCGGAGATCTCGTCCATGGCGGCGACGAAGGCGTCGAGGTCGGCCAGGAGGGGCTCGGCGAGCGTGATCGCATCGGGGCGCGGGGAGGCTGGGGAGGCGGTGAAGAGGAGCGCGCGGGCGAAGAGCAGCTCGTGCGCGCGCGAGGCGGCGGCGGCCCGGGCGAGCAGGCCCCGGGAGAGGCGCGAGAG